GTAGTGCAAGTCCAGTTTTCTTAATGAGTAAGTAGGTAGTGCAAGTCCAACTTTCTTAATGAGTAAGTAGGTAGTGCAAGTCCAGTTTTCTTAATGAGTAAGTAGGTAGTGCAAGTCCAACTTTCTTAATGAGTAAGTAGGTAGTGCAAGTCCAGCTTTCTTAATGAGTAAGTAGGTAGTGCAAGTCCAGTTTTCTTAATGAGTAAGTAGGTAGTGCAAGTCCAACTTTCTTAATGAGTAAGTAGGTAGTGCAAGTCCAGCTTTCTTGATGAATAAGTAGGTAGTGCAAGTCCAGTTTTCTTAATGAATAATTAGGTAGTGCAAGTCCAGCTTTCTTAATGAGTAAGTAGGTAGTGCAAGTCCAGTTTTATTAATGAGTAAGTAGGTATTGCAAGTCCAGCTTTCTTAATGAGTAAGTAGGTAGTGGAAGTCCAGCTTTCTTAATGAATAAGTAGGTAGTGCAAGTCCAGTTTTCTTATTGAGTAATTAGGTAGTGCAAGTCCAGCTTTCTTAATGAGTAAGTAGGTAGTGCAAGTCCAGCTTTCTTAATGAGTAAGTAGGTAGTGCAAGTCCAGTTTTCTTAATGAATAATTAGGTAGTGCAAGTCCAGTTTTCTTAATGAGTAATTAGGTAGTGCAAGTTCAGCTTTCTTAATGAGTAAGTAGGTAGTGCAAGTCCAGTTTTATTAATGAGTAAGTAGGTATTGCAAGTCCAGCTTTCTTAATGAGTAAGTAGGTAGTGCAAGTCCAGCTTTCTTAATGAGTAAGTAGGTAGTGCAAGTCCAGTTTTCTTAATGAGTAAGTAGGTAGTGCAAGTCCAGTTTTCTTAATGAGTAAGTAGGTAGTGCAAGTCCAGTTTTCTTAATGAGTATTTAGGTAGTGCAAGTCCAGTTTTCTTAATGAGTATTTAGGTAGTGCAAGTCCAGTTTTCTTAATGAGTATTTAGGTAGTGCAAGTCCAGTTTTCTTAATGAGTATTTAGGTAGTGCAAGTCCAGCTTTCTTAATGAGTAAGTAGGTTGTGCAAGTCCAGCTTACTTAGTTAGTAGGTTTGTAATACAAGCTGTTTTCTTGATTATTAAGTAGTTAGTGCAAGTCCAACTTTTTTAATCAGTACATAAGTAGTGCAAGTCCTGCTTTTTTAATCAGTACATAAGTAGTGCAATTCTAACTTTCTTAATTAGTTGGTAGGTAGCTTTCATAATTGGTAGGTAGTGCAAATCCAACTTTCTTAATCAGTAGGTATGTATTCCTAAGTGTATTGGGTTCTTTTTAAGTATTGCACAATTAGTATGACACATTTGTATTTAAAAAATGTAGAAAGATAATAAAAATTCATCTTTATCTGTATTACTATAAGCAGAAAAAAAATTTTAATTTTTGTATGAATCTAAATTATTCAAATAGGATTGGGACTACATTATAAGCAGTATGAGTAGATTTTAGCCAAATAATATAAGTTTGGTTCACTTTGAATAAATACTTCATTGCTATCACATTTTTGAGATATTTCTCTTATACTAAATTTTCCTATACATATATTATTACTAACGTAATATGTAACCAAAGAATATTCAGTCCCATATCACTTATGAATTTTTTTGAATATTCTGACTGTGTTCAACCTTTAGGCACTTACTCATAATTATTAGTCATACCAGTAATTAATTTTATCTATTTGACATAGGTACAACAGGAGGAACATCCAGAAGAAAATGTCCAAGCTTTAGTACAATTTGCAGTGAAGATAATGAATAGCTTGGACCTGACTAACAAAGAAAACTCACAAAACCTTAAACTTCGAGTTGGTAAGTGAAGGAGAACTATGTTTTTTTATTTTTTAAGTTTATATATATATATACAGGATGTTTCAAGTTTGTGCTATAATAAGAAATGATGATGGGTATTTGATTGTATAACAGCACCATTTAGGATGTAGTCACTATTTCAGCAAACAGGTCAGATCCAACTATTTGATCAGAAAAGAGTAGCCTAAGAGTTGGTGGTGTGTGCTGTTGATTAGCTGCCTTCCCCCAGTCTTATCAGTTCAAAATTAGGATCATAAATAGCCCTTCAGTGGCTTAGCATGAATATTCAAAAACAAAGAAATCGACAATGTATTTAACCAATATTAGTAGTTTTTCATTTCAATGCTGATAGCAACATTGGCATGGACAACTACCTTGATATTCATGTACATGGACATCCACAGGATATATTACAGAGGGAGCAGGATGACAAAATTATATCAAGGCTATAACTAGGGGCATAGGGAAACATATTTTTTCTTTCTTTTATGTTAGCCTTTAAATTTTAATTACATATTTCAAGGGGGGAAAGTGCTCCCCCTTGCAGATTGCCCATGTTCATGTATTGTTAAAATATTAATGCCAAATAAAAAAATGCAATTTGAATATACATGGGATGTTTATTGTATCAATACTATATTTTCAAGTTTATCAAGCTAAGATGTACATAGGTATTAACTATTGCCTGTTTCTACATGTTACGTATCTGCTT